TTCATCATTATTCACAATCACTTGTTCCATGTCTGCCTTCCTCTTTAGAACAGTCTGAAGTCACAAAAGCAGGGCCTTAGATCGCCTCACTTCATTATCAGTGCCAAGTACAACGCCTACCTCATAGTGGGAGAGCAATAAACATTTGATGAAAGAATGAAAGGCTATGATTCTTAAAATAGTTAAGGAATAATTAAAACATTGGGAATAATTAAAACAATTGCTCTACTGAGAGAATTAATAGGTTGATTGAATTTTAAGACATCCACTTAAAAAGTTGACGTTGAAGACCAACTCTAATTCTTCTTGAGGAAAGGTGTCCTGTGCAGGCAGCAGCTGTCTATAATCAGTTTATAATAACATTGTGTGAAAGACCTGATTGGAAAAAGTAAATAAAAATTAAAATGCAATCTGTTCGCTATTTTTAGACTATTTTTTTTTTCAGGAAAGGGATCGTTTCAGATGTAGCACCTCCTCAATTCTGCAAAGATTATCAAATGGTTGTATTGCTAGAAGAGAAATTTAATTACTATAGAATGTATACTGTGATAGCATATGCAACTTTAAATAAATCATATAAGACTTTAGTAGCTATTAGAGACTATGCCAATTTCATGAAATTATTAAATATGGAAGTTTTCATTTTAATGGCAACCAACCACAAAAAGCCATATCTTTAAAAAAATATTCTTATTTTTATTGATTTCAGAAAGGAAGGGGAAGAGAGATAGAAACATCAATGATCAGAGAGAATCATTGATTGGCTGCCTCCTGCATGCTGCCTACTGGGGACTGAGCCTACAACCTGGGCATATTTCTTTGACCGGAATTGGAATTGAACTTGGGACCCTTCACTATCCACTGAGCTAAACCATCTAGGATGCCATATCTTCTTTTTTTTAAGGCAGGTTGGATTTTAGTTGATATTTATTTTTAATCCTCATCCAAGGAAGGATATCTTTCCATTGATTTTTAGAGAGAGTGGAAGGGAGGGGGCAGAAGAGAGAGAGAGAGAGAGAGAGAGAGAGAGAGAGAGAGAGAGAGAGAGATGAGAGAAACACATAGATTGGTTGCCCCAACTAAGGTACGTGCCCTTGACAGGAATCAAACCCTTCAGTCCATGGACCCATGCTCTAACCATTGCAACTGGCTAGGGCTAAAGTGCCATACCTTGATAATAAACCATTCTCACTTAAAATTGTAAACAAAATCAGTATCTATTCCTCTCTTTTGTCTTACCATGGAAAATAGCTGGAAAATAAATCATTACTTAGGAAACAGCCATAGTAAGTATAGCTACTGTAGTTGTTTTTAGGTTGTGTAATGCTCTCTAGTTAATGACATTCGAGGTACATGGGCTGTATTACAGAAGGTGACTGTCATGTGTTTTTATCCTCTCTTTTCTTCAAGGTTGGGATGGTGAAGTTCAGTAGAAATCAAAGCTTCTCACTAAGCCCCTACAAAGCCCATATAACTCTATACTGAGAGATACACAACCCCAGCACACAAAGGCCACTAATAGCAATAGAGAATTACATTGTTCCCAAATAAGCAGGATTCCATTCGGAGTGGGGACTATTTCCTCCATACAGTTCTCAAGGAACATGGGCAAAGCATCAGTGACTGCCCCTTTCTTTCCCCTTTATAGATTAAGTGGCTCTCACTGCTGCCCCCTTAGCCGTGCCCGGAAATCACCGAAGGAGAACAAGCCTAGGAAGACTACAATTCCCATCATGCCTCATGTGGGCGCCGCCGACAACTGTCGCTGTTTAGTCACCCTTTCCGCGGGCTCCTCCCACTTCCGGGACTGCCGGGCCCACGGCCTAGCGGGCGCGCGCACGCGCCCACTAGCCAACCAGACGAGGCAATGGGACTCCATGCCAACAGCGACGTGCGGCATCACGTGGCCCGCGCGTTTGCGCGCGTCCCAGAAGACCGCTGCGTGTGCGCGTCCCTGCGGAGCCGGAGGCGGGGGGCGGGCCAGCTGGGGCTGCCGGGGCCGCGGGGTCCGGCGAAGGGGAGGGCGGGGCCAGCTCCGGGCCGCGAAGACAACACTTCCAGCGAGCTCGGAGGCCGAGGTTGGAGAGATGCTGTGGTTCCAGGGCGCCATTCCGGCCGCCATCGCGTCGGCCAAGAGGAGCGGCGCGGTCTTCGTGGTGTTCGTGGCAGGTGAAGGGGGCGGGGGCCCGAAATAGGGCCGGACAGCTCTCCGGCCTACCTCCCACCCCAGGCCTTGTTCACAGCCTCCGCTCTGGGGCTGCCCGGCCCTAGGCGTTCAGCGCCACCCCCGCCTGTTGGTCCCCACGGCCCTGGCGGGAGGCCTCGTCTCGGCCTCGCCCCCGAGCGCGGAGCCCGTCGACCCCTCTCCGCCCGGGGCGAGGAGGCGCGAGCGGCCCAGCACGGAGCTCCCCGCCCAGCATCTCGCCCGCCTCCGGGGGGGGCGAGGGGGCGGGTCACAGACACGCCCCCCCCCCCCCGCGCCCCCTTAGGGCTCTCGGCCCCGGGGGACCCACTTCGGATGCCTTAACCCGAGCGTAGTTCCTGGTGGAGGTGGGGCCACGGCCAGGCCTCCGGGCGGGCAGCTGGGTTGGCCATGAGTTGCCGACCGTCGGGAAGAAGCTGTGTCATCGGTAACAACAAAGGGAGACCACCTGGTGGTCACGGTTATGGGCGTTCCTGGGTCCCCCAAACGCGAACTGTTGAGCTGTGTATATATAGGTTTGATTTTTTTTTTTAAATGATAGTGGGGAAGGTCTAATGTGAATCATTGCTTTGTTGCAAGTCGATTTGTTTGCTTATTTATTTTTACCTGGTGTTGAGGAGTAGGCGCTCTGTACCTGGTTCTTTTTGTTGTCTTTTGTTTGTTTTGTTATCTTTCTGGTCTAATATCTACAATTTCCAGAATGTGTAGATATTTACCCGGTTTGCTCTGGGTTAATGCGCTCCGTATTTTATTACTCCCCTATTTTATTACTGAAATCTTCTAGATTTACAGTAAACCTATGCCTCGGGGGAACTGCCGATTCTCATTACATTGAGCCGAATCAGTGTTTGTGGCTACTGTTCATGTGAAGTGTATTATTTCACCTGTTTGTGTTCAATAATGTTTTACTCATTATTAACTCATGACTCTTGGGGGACTAATGGCTCTGTGGCTTTATGCACTGCAATGAGAACAAGTTGGTGAAATGCTTGTTGCAGTTAACATGAAACTGGAAATTTATCATTGTTTTGTCATGCTAAATTTATAGGTAAATCTCTAGTGCTGTTCATTTAGAAGAGTTCGAGTAGTTCATATTCTCTTACGCTGTTTCACAGTTTATATTTCACATAAAATACCAGCTGTAATCCTGTAAGGGGGAAAAAGTAAATTAAATAGGAAAGTGAAATGATAAGATACCATGCTGATTAAGAGTACAATAATAGTTTTATGACATTTTAAGTTGTGTTCTTTCCATAAAATCTCTATTGAGTCTTGTGGCAGGTAGAATCAGGTTTTATTATCTTCTTTTATAGATGAGGAAGCTATGTACACAGTGGTTAAGTACTTGCACCAGGGTCACAGAAAGGATTTACATATTGTCTTGACAAATTTTTTTTTTTAGCAGCTTAAAAAGGAAGTGGTTTTTGTTGTTTGTTTCTTAAGGAAAAAAATGAACAGTTGTAGACTTGCTGTGATTATTAAAATGGGTGTAGAAATTAGGAAATCTAGGATTAAATGGTAGTCATGGTTTTAAGCAAAAAGCACAATTGATGATGTCTGAATGTTCCCCTATAAGGTACTTTTGGGCTAATCAGTTAATTTGAAAGAAATATTTCTAGATTTAATTAACAAATATTTGAAAATCCATTTGGAAATAGTAGTGCTAATTATTATAATAGTAAGATAAAGTTATAGGTTTCGGGACTTTGTGTGTATATATTCCTTTTTCCGTTAACTTTTTACTGATGAGCGTGTATTCTATGTTTTTAGAGTATCAGAAACTGTGGATAACTATTTGCAGGAATATGGTTAGCAATCTATCAGAGTCTGTCCCTTGACCCTTTCACAATACCTTTGGCTTTTAGGTAAGATTAGTGTCCTTTTAGGAATTTGTATAGATAATAGTGTCATGGAACTGCCTAAACCAGTGGTTGACAAACTCATTAGTCAATAGAGCCAAATATCAACAGTACAACGATTGAAATTTCTTTTGAGAGCCGAAAACCAGCTTCTGTGCATGGGCCACGAAGTTTCAGTCCCACTGTACGTGCGCACCGCATGTGGTGTTTTGTGTAAGAGCCACACTCAAGGGGCCAAAGAGCTGCATGTGGTTTGCCGACCACTGCCTAGATATTTGTTCATAACTGAAGCATATGGCCAGAATTTATGGTTATCTTAGATCTGAGACTTTAATAATAATACATTAACTCGGTAGAAAATTAAAAAAAAAATCTTTATAGCTGGAAGGAATGGTCTTAACTTTGGTTCATATAACTACTCAAGTGGGAAACATTTTAGGCAAGTTGGTAAGTGAATTTTTCATGGATGAAATAAAGAATATTAAAATATTGATGTTAGGAGACTGGAGAGATTGCTACTAGTTAACAAATTAACAGGGATTTTCAAAGTATAACTATGTAAATTGAAAAAAGGAAAACTGGTCCTGGGCCAGATAGTTCATTTGGTTAGAATAACCTACCATGATAGGCCAAGATTGTAGGTTCAATTTCCTATTAGGGCATATACAAGAATCAACCAATGAATGCATAAATAAGTAGAACAACAAGTCAGCATTTCTTTTTCCCTGCCTCTCTTTCCCCCTTTCCTCCCTCCCTTCCTTCCTTCCGCTCTCTCTCAACTCAAATCTAAAAATAAAATATTTTAATGTATTTTTATTAATTTCATAGAGGAAGGGAGAGGGAGAGAGAGAGATAGAAGCATCAATGATGAGAATCATTGATTGGCTGCCTCCTGCATGCCCCTACTGGGGACTGAGCCCACAACCTGGGCTTGTGCCACTGGCTGGAATCAAACCCAGGACTTTTCAGTCCGCAGGCTGATGCTCTTATCAACTGAGCCAAAATGGCTATGGCCTCAAATCATTGTTTTAAAAAATGAAAAAGATTTTGATTCTGTTCTTGGGAAGGTAGAATAATTTGACAAGGATCCTGAAGCTGAGGTGTCAGTTCACTGACTAGCGTTGCTAGCGAGCTAAAATTTCATTGATAGGTACTCTTTACTGCCTTTTTGGGTTAAAATAGATGGAGGTTTTCTAAGTTGGAATTGCTGGCTTTACTAGGGTCTGCAGTTCTTTGCTTCTGAGTTTGTACTGTTTTCTTTAAGTACCTTTACTTTGGCACTGGTGTTCAGTGGTTGAGCAGTGACCCTTGAACCAGGTCATGGTTTGATTCCCGGTCACGGCACATGCCCAGTTGTGAGTGCTTGATCTCCAGTAGGGGGTATGCAGGAGGCAGCCAATTCTATCTCTCCTCCTTTCTCTGAAATCAATAAAAAATTTTTAAAAAGTATCTTTACTTTGGATACTGCTGATACTAACTACTAAGGAGAGAGTATTTTCTTATTAAAATTGTAGGCCCATCTAACCCCTTGGCATAGTTCATAATGTATTAAAACTAAGAAATTAAAGATTTTTCATTGGCAATTAATAATTCCATTCAGTAACAGCTGATGCTGCTACTAGACTGGGTCATGGACAGATACTGTTAGTGGGGAGGTGACATCTGGTACAACAAAACTTCAGAAGTAGCAGATCTATGCTACCTACTTAACATTCCCCTTGGATGCCTCATAGGATTCTCAAACCTAAAAGTATATTTACTGCCTGAACCTCTGTTTTCTCCCCCGTTGTGCTGCTACTTCTAAGTAAATGGTACTGCCCCCTGGTCCAAGTCCTGGTCAAGGGGACAATTTGCATATTAGCCTTTTATTATTATAGGATAAGATTTGTAGTTATTCTAAACAAGTACTTTTTTTCTGTACCATTAGGTTTCCCCCCCCCGTTTTATTTATTTATTTATTTATTTATTTTTATTAAATTATTATCTGTGTACATATGTTAACATTGCCCCCCCCCCCCATACTCCCATTTGACCCAGTAATCCCACTTCTAGGAATATATCCCAAGAAACTAGAAACACCAATCAGAAAGGATATATGCACCCCTATGTTCATAGCAGCCTGTCAGCAGATGATTGGATCAAGCGAAGGACTTGTATACATGCATATAAGTACAACCAATGGACACAAAACTCTGGGGAGGGAGGGTATGTATGTACCATTAGATTTTAATCTCCACTGAGGGCAGACAGTGTTTCATTTGTTTTACTTGTTTATTTAAATATTTTTTATTGGTTTCATAGAGGAAAGGAGAGGGAGAGGGAGAGAGAGAGAGAAACATCAATGATGAGAGAGAATCATTATCGACTGCTTTCTGCACAACCATATCGGGGATCAAGCCCTCAACCCGGGCATGTGCCCTGAACCCGGGCATGTGCCCTGTCTGGAAATTGAACCTTGACTTCCTGGTTCATAGGTCAGCAACCACTGAACCAAGCTGACTGGGTTTGTTTTATATTTAGTTTATAGTTCAATACCTAGCACACAATAAATGTGGAATAAAACAGTGAATGTATGAAAGAATGAATGAAAGCGTCCCTCATGCCTCACAGTCTTCTCTAAGAAGTGTTTATTGTGAGAATGTCATTGATTTGGAGTTTTACATATCTCTACAGCCCATAGTGTCTCCCCCCCCCCCACACACAGTGCCTTAAGATGTGCTCAAAATGATGTCATGACAAATGATACTTTTCCCCATCTGCTGCTTCAATCTTTTATTTTTTGTTTTTTCACACCCACACCTGCCATTTATATGGTCTTCTTGCTGGGAATAAAAGGTAAAGAGTCGCCAAAACCGGTTTGGCTCAGTGGTAGAGCGTCGGCTTGCGGACTGAAAGGTCCCAGGTTCCATTCCGGTCAAGGGCATGTACATTGGTTGCGGGCACATCCCCAGGAGAGGGTGTGCAAGAGGCAGCTGGTCGATGTTTCTCTCTCATTGATGTTTCTAGCTCTCTATCCCTCTCCCTTCATCTCTGTAAAAAATCAATTAAAAAAAAATTTTTTTTAAGGTAAAGAATTCACAAATATCACCATCTAAGCACCAGTTTCAAATTAAACATCACCCTTCAGCTTGCAAAATAATTTATTTACAAGTAAGCAATTGGCGGAAGAAAATGTCAGTTCTTCTGTAGAGTATAGAGGTAAAGTATAGAGGAGGGGTAACTGCATTTCAAGATTACAGAAAGCAGTTGGATAGAAGAGGCAGGACTGCCACTCCAGCAGACAACACAGAAGTATTTGCCAAATCCTGAGTTCAGAATTTTTTCTTTTCGAGATGGATATAAAAGCACCTAAAAGTCAAGGAAAAATGTTCTTCCTAACATGAACCAGCAGAAGCGCTGGATGGGCTGGAAGCCGGCCCACCTGGTGCAAAGGCCAGCTTGCTGCAGAATGCTTCAGTCCGCCATCTATGCTCCTTCAGAAATCGTGCTTCAACATTTTGATCTTGTGTGTATCTGTGGATACATTAAAGTCCCTGTTTTTATTTCCAAGGCCAGATTTCTCAAGCTCCTATTTCTGATATTCCTGAGTTTCTTCTCACACAAAATCATATATGCTGTGTCCTACCGTTCGTTTGATCATTGGACTAGTTGCTATGACACACACTGACCACCAGGGGCAGACGCTCTGACCGGTAGGTTAGCTTGCTGATGAGTTCCAGCCGATGGGGACAGGGCGAGATGGGCCGGACAGTCCCTTCTCAGCCCCAATTGTGCACCAGTGGGGTCTCTCAGCCTGGTCTGTGCCCTCTCGCAATCCAGGACCCCTCTGGGGATGTGGGAGAGCCAGTTTCGGCCTGATCCCCGCAGGCCAGGCTGAGGGACCCTACCAATGTACAAATTCATGCACCGGGCCTCTAATATACTCATAAGTGCAGCATTAGTCAAGTATTGTAAATATCCAAGATACTTTATTAAAAACTTACCTGTATATTCTGCAAAATAGTTTTTGAAAGTCTGCTACATTCCATCTACTTATCATATGCCAGATTTTGTTGTAGGCATTTGAGTTATTACATATAATTAAGTAAAAATGAAAACTATCCTTGCCCTTCTGGAGCTGCATTCTCATGGAAGATACAGAGAATAAACAGTAAACAAGGTATAAAAACATACTCTATTAAAAAGTGATATATGTAACAGAAAAAAAACACACAAGAAATAAAGAACCTTTGGAAATATCTGAAGGGTGTATGAGTTTATTAAAGTGGTGATTAGGGAAAGCTTTATTGAGAAGATAGTATTAGAGCAAGAACTTATGGTAGTTGATAGTTAACTATGTAGATACTGTGAGAAGAACATTCCAGGCAGAGGAACCATCTAGTACCAAGACCTTAAAATGAGGGTGTCTTTCATAATTTGAGGAATAGGAAGGAAAGGAATAGCAACAAGGTAAAGGGAAATGAGGACAGAGATAACTGGACTTTTGTAAGGACTTTGGCTTATACTTTGAGGGAAAATAGGGAGATATTGTAGGATTTGGAGAGAGGTTGATGTGATCTGAAAGTTTAAGGAAAGTTGCTGTGTTAAGAATAGACTGAGCAGGGAAACCAATTAGGAGGATATCGCAATCATCTATGTGAGATGTGATAGCATAAGTCAGGGTGGTAGCAGTGAGTGTGGTAAGAGATAATTACATTCTGGATATATAGTTGACCCTTGAACAGCATGGGTCCCTTTATACCTGGTCTTTTTTCTTTTTTTTTAAATAAAATATATTTCATTGCTTTTTTTACAGAGAGGAAGGGAGATAGAGAGCTAGAAACGTCAATGAGAGAGAAACATCGACCAGCTGCCTCCTGCACACCCCCTACCAGGGATGTGCCTGCAACCAATGTACATGCCCTTGACCGGAATCGAACCCGGGACCCTTCAGTCCACAGACCGACGCTCTACCACTGAGCCAAACCAGTTTTGGCTACCTGATCTTTTTTCAATAAATACATAGAGTTAAAAGTTATATGTAGGTTTTTGACTGCGGGGGGGGGGGGGGGTTGTGCCCCCTAACCCCTGTGTTGTTCAAGGGTCAACTATTTGTAGATGAATCAACTGAAGTCAATGGTAACTAAAGATTTAGCCTGAGACCTGAAGGGATGGACTTAGCATGAACAGATAACTGAGATGGGGAAAGCTAATAAATTGGGTGGTGATGATGAAAGCAGCATACAAAACAGCAGGTGTAGAATGATCTCATTTTTGTAAAATGAAAAATGTAGCCTGGAAATGTGTATTTTTTTGTCTTTTTTTTTTTTTTTTTAAATCTGTAAATTGGCAAAAGTTGCTCGCCTTTTGAGAAAGTGCTTAGCTCTGCTAATGTCAGAAATATTTTTCTGTGACTTATTCAGGTAAGTTTCCTTCTGTCTAGCCATAAGTGGTTATGTTAACAGAAATGGAAATAATATCTTGATAGGTGTAAGTTCTAAAATTTTGTCATTGGGGCATAACATACAGTATATTAGATGAGATACATTAAGTGAAACAGCTTGATGAAGTTTTTCATATGAGTACATTTGTGTAACTGTCATCCAGGTAAGATACCCACATTTTCAGCAGCCCAGAAGATTTCTTCATGTTAATTTCCTAGCACTTCCACCATAGATTAGTTTTGGGTCAGCATAACTTTTATGATTAGCATACCTATAAGAAAAAGCAAGTCCAAGACTACAAACAGACTTGTACCTGCCTCTATCTACCTTGGAGGAATTCTGGAGAATAAATATTGTGGAGGATATTGAACTCAACAGAAAGGTGCTTCATAAAGGCAGAGTACATTTATATCTAAAATCCTTTGAAAAGCCAAAATAGTCACTACATTTGTACCCATGGTTTGTAATTATTGTGGATACAAAATGGCAATATTGTGCTTTTTATTGCTTTGTATTAACAATGCATAGTCATACTTTTCATACTTTACATTTAATGGAAAAATTCAGTTTTTAAATTTGGTAGAAAACAAATAGTTGTATTATATTTTATTTGCAATTTCAGATTTCCAGGAAAAACGAATCAGCAAATATTGGCTTTATATAATAAGAATCCTTGAAATGTTTTCTAGGTGATGATGAGCAGTCTACACAGATGGCTGCAAGTTGGGAAGATGAGAAAGTGACAGAAGCATCTTCAAACAGTTTTGTTGCTATTAAAATCGATACCAAAAGGTTTGCTTAATGTTTTAATCTTTTGGGTTTTTTAAAAAAATGCTTTTATTGGTTTTTTAGAGAGAGAAAGGGAGAGGGATAGAGAGAAACATTGATGAGAGAAATCTCAATTGGCTACCTCTTGCATGCCCTAAATTTTTTTTTTTTTTTTTTAATTTCAACTGTAGTTTTTGGTTGTGATTATGGTGATGCTTTTAGATTATAAGAACGTTGTTTTTTATCTAAGGCATATTAGGCTGTTAAATTTGGATTGCTGTTTTCCAAATTCATCATTATATCTTGCTGAAAACTTAAGTTCTCCTAGTCTACTAAACAGCAATACAAAAATACTGTGAGCCTCAGCTTCTAAGAACTTGGAAGTAACTGTAAATCATTTATTGAATATATCTTAAAGGCTTACCACTCTTCTGAATTCTATTTTTTGGAATGGAATTAATTTTTTTTTTTTTAAATATTTATTGATTTCAGAGAGGAAGAGGGAGAGAGAGAGAGAAACAAATGATGAGAAGAATCATTGATGGCTGCCTCATGCATGGCCTCTCCTGGGGATTGACTCTGCAACCTGGGGATTAAACTGTGACCTCCTGGTTCATTTGTCGATGCTCAACCACTGAGCCACAACAGCTGGGTAGGGCCAGGCAGGAGATGTTTAACAGGAATAAGTGCATTTATAGGTCCTTCATAGTACCTACTATCCACAAATCTTTTATTTAATATATCCCTTCCCCCCCCTTAAAAAATATTTTTTATTACAGAAAATTTCAAACATATAAGTGACTGAAGAGTGTTAATAAACCCCCATATACTGTCTCCCACTTCAGTAATTGTCAACTCTTGATCAGTCTTATATCATGTAAACCCCTATCCATTTCCACTTATCCTATATAATTTTGAAACAAATCTCAGTCATATAACTTCATCTATAAATATTTTAGTATGTCTTTGAAAGATAAGGATTCTTAATTTTTTGATACAATTAGAATACTTCAAAAAGAAAATAATAACTCTTTAATATTAGATATCCACCCAGTGCTCAAATTTGTAATTATCTTATCAGAGTCACAGTTTTAATATTAATTTAATTTGTTGCAGTTTGGTTTAGGATCCATCAAGTTTCACACATTGTCATGTCTTAAGTCTCTTAGTGTAGCAGCTTCCCCTCTATATCTCTTTCTTTTTCTTTGCAATTTATTTTTTGAAAATACCATAGTTTCCTCCAGTATGGATTTTGTTGATTGCAACTCTGTTGTGTCATTTGGTTTGTTCCTCTGTCCTCTTTTCCTCTGACAGTTGGATTCAGGTTAGATTTTTTCCCCCCTTTAAGATTACTTCATAGATGATAGTATGTCTTCCATTAGAAGCAGCTTACAAAAGAGCATAGTGCCCTGTTATTTCTCTTTTATGATGATAGCAGTAGCCATCAATTACTGGAAACAATTCATTAGCAATTGCAATGTGGTTTTGATATTAATAATATCAGAATGAATAATGTTTGACAGTTACTATCAAAATTAAAAATTTCAGAAATTATCCTCTAAGTTTAGAAACTTTATTTAAAATTTTCAGTATTAACAAACTGCATAAAGCAAATTTTAGTGTAGTCTGTTTCAAATATTACTGAACTGTATATTTATTGAGCTGTAATAGTTTTTTTAAAAAAAGAATCTTATCATTTTAATGTGTATTTTTTTGTTTTTGAGGCATTATATTTCTTTTTTTCTTTTTTTTTTTAAGGAACCAATAGTTTTAGAAAAATGCTTGTAATTGGTATAGTAAATTTTTATAAAAGCAGCTTAATATTTGGGAAACATATATTCATCTAGTGATTTTTCTGTTTGATTTTGTTTTTTTTACAGTGAAGCCTGCCTACAATTTTCACAAATCTGTATCCTTTCAATAAAGAATCGGTTTTACATATTTGCTTGAGGATTTACCTTTTTTTCCTTTATTTCATGAAATTTATAAGTTACTCATTTTTACTTACAAACTTATGCCTTGTTAACTAGAGGCCTGGTGCATGAATTCAGGCACAGATGGGGCTGGCTTGGGGGAGAGGCCATGGGCGGTTTGCCGGCCGGCCCTGACCCCTGGTCGAACTCCCGGTCAAACTCCCAGTCAAGGGAACAATTGGCATATTAGCCTCTTATTATATAGGATGGAACTTTATATTACTAAGTGTCCTTTGAGACAGTACAATGTAGCAAATGGAATCATAGGGAGTTTATTGCAAGCATCTAAAAAATAGTATGGAGCAGTATGGATGCCATGTTAGAAGTAGTTGGCAAGAGGCAATATAGATATAAAAGTTATGATAGAGGGGAATGTAGTATATGTTCTCCACTCAGATATGTAATACAAATAAATCATAAATCAATTCCCATGTCACATGCAGTAATTGA